TCAGATACAGAAGAAACTCAAAACATGCTCCACATTCTATTCACGTAGATTTGGGAGGGACAACAAGTGGAGGCAAAATGGAAAGAAAGACACTTTATCAAGGGTCCAAATAAAAGATATCAACAGGCATGCGTACTAAAGAGGTACCACATTACTATCACTACCAGGAAACCTTTTCAATAGAGTTATATTGAACCGGATGGAAGATTGAGTAGACGACCAACTTCAAGATCAACAGACCGGATCCCATGAGGATCGATCGTGCACAGACCGAATCGCGACATTAAGGACCATCGTTGAGCAGTCAATTGAATGGAATTCGTCACTATACATCAACTTCCTTCACTATGAGAAAGCATTTGACAGCGTAGATAAGAGAACTTTATGAAAACTTCTTAGGAAAAAACAGTGTACCTAAGAAGATTGCCAACATCAACCGGATTTTATACGACGGACCACACTGCAAAGTCGTACAACGAGGGCAGATGACAAACACATTCCAAGTGAGGACAGAAGTCAGACAAAAAAACTGATTACTCTACCCTTTCTATTTCTTATGGTGCACGACTGGATTATGAAAACCTTCATATCTCGGGAATAGCAAGAAATACAGTGGACTGCTTGGATGCAACCAGACGATTCTGAATTCACAGATCACCTACCTCTTCAATCCCCCCCACACACACACACAAACCAACAAATTCAGGTCAAGACAACCAGTTTAGCGGCAGCCTCTGCATCACTACGTCTCAACATAAACAAGGGAAAATGAAACATCCTCAAATACAACACAGACATTATTAACCCAATCACACTTGATGGAGATGTTCTGCAACTGGTGGAAACTTTCACATATCTGAACAGCATCATCGATGAACGAGGAAGATCCGATGCAGATGAAAACACAAGGAATGGCAAAGAAAGGGCCACATTCTTACAGTTGAAAAACATATAGAACTCAGAACAACTTTCAACCAATATCAAAATCAGAATCTTCAATATGAACGTGAAGACAGTTAGTTCTACTGTATGGAGCTGAAACTTGAACAACTACCACAACCATCATCAAAATGTACAAGTATTTGAAAACAGTTGTCTTAACATGATATTTAATGTCCGTTGGCTGAACACCATCAGCAACAATTCACTGTGTTGTAGAGAACGAACCAGTTTCCATATGAAGAGGAAACTAGGAAAAGATATTGGAGGTGGATAACACATACATTGTAGAAATCATCATACTGAATCATGAAACAAGCGCCTACTTGGAATCGTGAAGGGAAACGGGACAGTGGAAGGTCGAAGAACACACTGAGTCAGGAATCGGAAACAGGTATCAATAGAATGAATAGATACTGATAACTACTGAAGGAAGAGGCTACTACGGAGTTATATGGATGGCGGCCAATGCTCACCACAACGGTTATCAGTCAAGTAAGTACTCACGAGTGTCTCGTCTGTCCAGTACATGTTTGTAGCAATGACCGTCGGTTCATTATTTTTGTGATTGTTAGTGAAAAAACTCGACTACCTCTACCGAAGTAGATGCAGTGAACTTGAAATATGAATATGGACCTTTCTGATAGGAATTGCATTTCTCTGACGCTTTTCCCAAACTGAGGTCGAGAAACTTTACTTCCTTGACGAAGCGGCTTACAGATAGCATGTTTAATATGTACCTAGTCAACAGATGAACGTGATCAGCCACATATTAGTATCATTCTCTGGAATATCCTAAATCATTCAATACTGTTTCCCAATGCTTCACAAGTTTAATAATCTCTATCAATACTTTTTTATGCTGAATAATACATATTGTGTAATTTACGAGTGATCTTTCGTTCGTGTAATAGTTGACTAACGTTTCATTATTCACCATTATATGAAGTGTCATCTGAGATAATAATTATAATCCTGATCAACTGTTCGTAATGATCATTGAATTATCAATAAATCGTCATAGGAAATCATTTTCCGCAGTTTAGTTACAATGATAAATCTTAGTAAAATTAGCCGTGACAGGTAAAGTTTAACTTTGTTGGGTATGAGATATGTACTGAGCTAAGATATTAGATCGTCGCTTATTATCACTAATTATTTGAAGTCATAAATTTACACCTTTGGATTTAAGCTGTGGTCTATAGGGTAAGGGGTTGCGCCCAATACCGAACGACCTGAGATCGATCCTTTGCGTCAAGTTCATGGATGAATATTGTCAAAGAGTCCCACAATAAGACTAAAAACGAAGCTGTCCAGTGATCCCATGTTTTCAGTGGTTGTTTAATGGAAATCGTATTTTCGTAATAAAATTATTTTTACCGATGTATTTAAATTTATGCCGACCAAAACGATACGTATATAATTTATCACACATCATGGACTTGATGTTTATTGCTTATAATGCAAAAATTACCGATTAATTATTCATCAAATAAACATAAAATTAATTCACTTTTAATGAAATTTTATCATTTAAAGTACATAAAACATAAACGTCAATCTAAATAAGGTTATATAATATAGGATAAAGGCAACAATTACATTTATGTTTGTAGTTTACGGTTATTAATGTTAAAGAATTCAAATTAAGCAACCCCTTCTAGTGTGTGCATTATGAACGCATCACTTGAATAGTATCAACTAGTCACGGTTAGATCTAAAAGTAACGGGTTCGATCCGTAGTATGAATCCGAACACTGAGATATAAGTATATCCAGCCGACAGTCTAAAATAGGAAGAGTGCATCCTGGAACTAACCACCAGCCATCATGCAACTTCAATGGACGCAACGGTTGTGTATACTAATCGATCAATAATGGGTAAATTATGTCGTCTAATCTAGACCCGAAGGTTAAGGAGATTCTGTAACTGCAAGTTGTAATGTGTTCACGATTCTGAATGAGTTAGTATGAGAGAAAACTTATTTGGTACAGTCAGATAAAATTACATATAACATAAGACCTAAGTTTTGTGCTTGCGAGGACCCATTAGTAAAGTGCATGTCAGTTTCTGAGGTATCTGGTATTTCATCAAAGACCTAAACCTGTACTACAGGATGTCACTTTTTAAAACGTTGGCATTCAACTTTTGGATTCGCAATCAACAATTTATGGAAGGGGGGGAGAACGACAATATTCACGTTTATTAATGAGTTCAGATGCCAAGAAATCTCTGCGACACTGCAAGTAACTTGGTGATAATATATTGGGTAATGTGAATCCATATCTCTAAGAAATTAAAATTTACGTGAAGGATTAGGATGTATCTCATAAAGAAGTGGTAATAAACTTGAGATACAATTCTAAAACTTTCCTATCGACTGCTTACGTTCATTTAAATGAAAGATTGTCTAATCTTTGAACTATGAAATTCGATCTCGAACATCTCATCAGACAGAGTAAATTTATTGATACAGACCTCATAATAAATAAAACTCTTCACGGTAATATTCATATAACTGAAAATTGATAGCATTATTTGCAATGTGAAAAACGATCAATTAAGAGAATAAAAGTTAAGTGGAAGAAAGGATAGATGACGAATAAGATAAACTGACTAGCTACACGGTAGAAGTATATTTCTTTTTCAGATAACTTAGGCAGAAACTACTAATCACGTATTGAGGAGTCATATCACCACCTTGCATATGATATGGTCCTGGTTGGCGGGGTGATAGGCGAAAATGAAGGATATGAAAATTTTAATCGACGATCTTATTAGTTTATTTTAGCGTGGCTACAAGAATTAAGCAATTAATTTGTGTTGCAGTCAGTTACCGTTCTATTCAGACCTGGATAAGCCTTGGTAATTAACTGTCCTCATTAGGCTTTACCCTAATATACAGTAATATCTATATGGATATACAAAATTATTGGACCAATCAAGGTAGTTTATGAGTCAGAGATAACAGTGGAATAGATTAAATAAACATAAGTAAGAAGTATGAATTGGCAGTATGACAGATATACTGGTTGTGATAACTATTATATCCTAGCGAAGACATGAGTACGGGTAATTTCCGGGATCTATTAATGGACGATTATTCTATGTATATTCTTATTGTTTAACTATTGAGTAATTCGATTAAGTATATCCATATTCATCTTATTATAAGCTTTATTTTGATCTATGAATTATTATTATTATACGATTTACTGTCCCTAAATTATATTCAGTTTATTGATTACTGTCTCCCACATTCACAGCCACATTTGGCTTGATCTTGTACAAATACTATTTTCTATTTTATGGTGTGGTGCGGTCTGTCTGTCTGGTATATAAACCAAGTATGTTTGAAATAAATGATTCGCATAGGTGAAGCTGTAATTGGTGTTCTGGACTTAACTGGAAGGGTTAGACGGACAAGGGACCAATAAGGACGCTAGACTGCTCATACCAGTTGAACGTCATTGATTTGGCACAGTGTTAGGATTGGAAAAGTCGTATTTCGATTGGTGGATAAATCACGTGATAAAAGCCGGACATAATATCATAACGAATTGGCGTAAGGTCTTCTTTTGTAAAGTAATAGTAACGAACAGAATTTTTTGAGCAAAAGCTAGACTCTCATAATAAACTAGAAATGAACAAATAGGATTATTTGATCAGTCCTACAAAAAGTAAACTTCTTGTAAGTAACCGATTTTAAAAGGAAATCTGAGACTTGTAGATTCTCCGAACAAATTTTCTGCACACCGAAACTATTTAAACAACCAAAAATTTTGCAACGTAAAACATCACTTCAAAAGTTTGGCTGCCCGGCACGTTGATACACACTTTGCTAAGTACTCATTGTTATTAACTCAGACTTTTGTACTTGATTGCCACGCAAACATTTTGAATGTCTAGTGGTTAGTGATGCTATTCAGTTAACCATACGAACGGAAATTCAAGTCTGAGAGTCAGTGGCTGAAAGCGAAACGCCTTAAACATTAAGACAACTGTTTAACCACGAGCAGTACGGTACAACAATCCAAGAACGTAATACTGAAAACAAATCACTGAACGTTTAAAAAAATTTAATTTAAGGTAGCTTGATTAAAGATGTAAATGATGTAATACATAGGTTCCAAAGTTTAAAAAGGCCATAACTAAAAATTATTATAAAGAAAGTACATTATTACATCAGCTGTGAATTATAATTATTACTCAATTTGACAATAAGTTCCTACTATTCTTAAAAATCATTCATATCAACAATTTGTTCATATTCACACCTTTCTATTAGGCCATTTCATCTGTTCTGGGAGAATGTAACGCGATGCTAGTGTTAAAATAGGCGTACCAGTCGGAATGCCAGGACAAGGGCCATTACTTGAAGCGATATCCATATGTGTATACGCCAAAGGTTTCTCAGTATTTTTCAAATGCTAGGAGGTTATAGAGAAATATATTGATTAAAAAGATTGTCGTTGTTTCATTCAATGAAGAAAGTATTTATACAACCAGTAATACATGTTAATGTAATGCCCAGTTAACTGAACGAATAATAGAAGTGTCACAATCTAATCACGGTGGTTACCAAGTGATATGTACAATGCCCACTGACATATTAGATATACTCAGAAATTAAATAAATTAAATTCTCTAAAAAGTAGGCGTAAGATGAAAATAGTGATAAAACTACACAAAAATCCTCACCGGGAAGTTAGGCACAATTGGCTGAAACTGGAAATTATCTGAGATGATAAGAGTGGTATCAATGTATATAAAGTGTAAGACGAGATGCAATAATCAAGGTAAATCCCATAGTAGTGGAAGAATCAATAGTAGTAGAAAATCGAAAGAAAAAAACACATAAGGATACCCTGAGAATCAGGTTCTAAAGTTAAAAAGTAAGTTTACATGCGCCAATGTGAACGACTTCGAACCATGTCAGTCAAAGTCTGTGACCACCGATTAATATGACTCAGTTCAATCGGCAATGACCTCATAGACCAGTGATGTTAGTCTGGCTGTAGAAGGTCAGATCTACAACGCGTCAGTAAGAGCAGTTTTGCCCTATGCTTGTGAAACCTGGTCTCTCCCAGTTGAGGATGTTAGAGACTCTCTCCTTCAATGTTTTTCTCAGTAACCTCAAATCGTTTCCTCATTACACTATCAAAAATTATCAAAAGGACTAATTGTCTTAAATAAAACAATAAATAAGACCTACAGAGTCCAAACCAGATGCAATAATCATAAATGCGACTGGAGACTGATGACCTCTGCTACGTTTCCCACCAATCAGACGAGCAGAATTCAATAAATCAGCATATTCTTCATCAGTTTTATGCGCATCATAATCTTCACGTCGAAGTGTTGATATCTAGGAATTTAATAATTAATAATAATAATACATAAACAAATTAACGTAGTTGAATAATAAATTGCAAAAAACTTGCTTTCAAATCAAACGTTGATAATTAAATAGTCGGACTATTAATATTATAATGCATATCATTTATTAAGTACAGGTTTATCGAAGATAAACTACTTAAACTCCAGTATTACCAATCAAGAATAGTTATCCTACCAAATTTATTGACAGAAAGCCGAGGCCAAAACGGCAACTTCAGAGAGTAATTACAGTATCGAAGAAGAGTTCTTTCATAAATATCGAATTTAAAAGAGATGTTGCTGGGGAAATTCTGGAGAGATCAATTACGAAATATCTGAGAAGACTATCTGTTCTGCAAAGTTTCGCATTGTCTTCCACAACCAGTTTATCATTTATGAATGTGTTAAAAATGAACTTCCGCTTAGGGTCAAGTTGATGTGTATCTTTATAAGTTCACTTGCTCTTGTGAGACACCTTACACTGGGGACATGAAGCATACATTATAAAACACTACATAGTGTGGATTTTCAATGGAGAACACAAAACTGTCACTAACTCAATAGAGGAACACCTCATCAACTATGAGCACATCGCTTCACCAGAATTATCGTTCAGAAAATAATCTACACAGTTTAATGAGTGCAATGGTGAAGGTGCATCCACTCTTTGTGTTTTCTCAAATTCTAATCTTCTGAATTCTTCGTGTCACTTTCTTTTTTCATGGTTGACATCAAGGATTTACTATAGTTAGACAACGAACGAGAACTAGGAAGTTCTGGACAAATGTCCCAATATAATATGGGACTTCTGAAAAGAGGACATTCGCTACCCAGGAAGGGATCGAACTCATGACCTCTGGACCTCAGAACGAGGACAGTACAGTTTTTCTTGACTTTTAACAGTTATCTATGGTTAGTCCATGATGTAAAGTACAATATTATAGAGTATTGATTCAACAAGGGCAAAGAATTAACACTACGCCACCACACATACAAATTCAGAATCTTTCACTGCAAATCGTTATTATAATAAGTAGTATTTCTTTACTTCGTTAAGCAATTTGTACGTATGACAAGAGTAGCATAAGAGAATTAGAGGAAAAAACAAAACAAGATAAACTAACTACTACTTAGTTTAACGTACTTCATGCATTTCACCTAACAATGATCCAGCAAATTGATAGTTATAATCTTCTCCAAGTTCTTTAGCCGGACCATTACAAACGATACCCTATAAAGAAAACAAGCATAAGAATATACAAAACTAAGAAATACATGAATGTAGATCCAGGTGACTACAACATAAGTAATTCATTGGCAAGATAGAGAGGTTGAAGTTTTGTTTACACTAATAATACGGGAACTATATGCATATGTAGAAATAACTAGAATAAAAAATTGTGAAGTATGATAAGATTCGAAAGTGAAGTGGGAAATGGAATAAACTAGAATGCAGTAAAGAGAGTTTGGTTGTTGAGCTACAGATTATGATAATTAGTAGATAAATTTCTTAGGGCATTCAGTCCAAGATTCGTCAGTGGTAGAAAGGCAGCAAAAATGGACTGATTTACATAAGTTACTATCGATGAAAAAGAAAACACCAACTCTCGACAGTAAATTTGATGCTTTGGCGAATGCTATAATAAGATTTCGGCAACAATCATGTGCTCACTAATGACTAGTTTTAAGGGAAAAATCCTAGTGAGAAGCTATGACCAAGGGAGTTCAACAATGTTGGCGGCCTGTTTAAACATCTGGGCTACCTGTTCCTGTCATCTAGATGTTTCAACAAGTTATCTAATTTCGTTTGTTTTAATACGTCATTATGGCTACCAATCGCACAACCTATTCATGTGCGTTTCTGAAAAGTTTAAAACTTTTCACTGTAAAGGTTCCAGAAGGCCTAATCAGAGATATTGTGGTTGCAGGCAATATGCAGCGAGAAGAAAGTACATTACTCAGATGTCGACTGACTGGGCTGCTAACTTCTAACTGGCGATCACTCAATATTTATCGTCAGGAAGGACGAAGTAAGAAACGGAAATTTGAAGTATTTTGTGCTGAAAACTCTATATTGTACAAAAAATATAATATTGAATAAAGCTAATAATAATAATGTTACCCACTAAAGAAAATCGAGGATGGTTGTATTTTATTATTATTTTTATTTAAACACATATATATTGGTACAAAAGGGCACCAGGTACATATGCGCCACACAAAATAATTTGTGTGTGGGCTGTAATACTGCCCGGGTGCCCAAACCGAAGCAGGTGGTTTTCTTAGGGGGCCATACCCCGAGCCTTTGATGAAAAGGTCTGATCCACAAGGCAGTGGAGCATCGTGAGGAGATGCAGTCCCATGGTAGCCGTTGACCAATGACAGGTTCGTCCACCATTCGTTTCATCAGGATACTGGAGCCCATGTGCACCATTGGTTTGGAATCAGGGTTTTCCAACTCCCCTAAGTGCACACTCCGTGTCCACCAACCCGGTTAAAGCGCCGGACACTCGCTTTTCGTCCTCTCACTTTCGTAAACAACACCCCCGCCACGAGAAGGCAGTGAGTAGGACTTCCCTGGCAGAGGCTATATATTCGCTGGCCATGTGAGAGCATTTCGAGAGGGCGAGTAGACTCTCCCTACTCTCGGCCTTACCAGGGCATTTGGAGGATGGTTGTGAAATATTGCGAGTTGGTTGAATCTAGATTTATACACCACTGGGTCACAGCCTAACAGTGTAGAGATTAGTCATTCGCGCGCGAGACTCAAGGCTATGGACACGATTTCTACCTAAGAGTTGTGGATGCACACTGTCGAAGTGCTCCATTCTAGGGAGAAACGGCCTTCTATTGCTACCAGGTTGTTAATGGTGGTATAACTTGGATCGATTTTTGATTTCATTGAAATAACTACTTTATCATGTGTTTGTAGTTAATTAATAAACAGGGTGAAATTGAGTGATAACAGAAAAAAAGAACAATTACTGTAACTGATATAATTAGTGCACAGACTCTGATTATGAATCAGCCAACAACTCTCTTTTAGACATATGGAAAGCTGGAATAAGTCAAGCTTAAAAATAATATGATTACTTTGAAATGAAACTTCAGTTTATTTTGAGATAATGCAGTTAAATTCGCTATATGTTTATAAACCTCCAGAAACAACCTATTATTATGAACGTAGAACCTGGATCGATGTGTACAGAGAATTGGAACTATTCATTTGCATATTAACACTTATACACAAATGACTAAACTATGGATGTCACACAACGATTATTTTGTAACACTAGACAAAGTAAAATTAAATAAATTATCTACTAATAGGCGATTGTATTCCAAATTTTATTTTATACATGTTATCGGCGTGTACAGGTCGATTTTCACTAGTTCAATAATACTTTATTCGATCATTCATTTGTAATCTATTTTAGTCAGACTTTTGAACAAACAATAAATCTGGGTCATTTACACGGTGTGTTGTGTATAATTTAGTTTGTTAAGTGTCATTTATAATAAAATTATAAACTCATTCATAATACATATTAATATTCAATAGAAAGGAGGATTTAACAAAGCGATTTAATATATAAGCCTAAACATTACCGTATATCCTAGTCCATAGCATAACCCAACGTGACCAGTCAGAGTAGCGATTGTCATTAGTCGTGGATTTGATACTTTTAGTGCCTACAAAATAGATGTAAATGCATATTTCAAACAACTTTTGTGATATTAAAAAGAAAACTCTTGTGATCACCACTGTAGTTATCATTATTTTAGACTGTTGCCTTTGCAGTCTAAATTAGCATTTTGAAAGTCGCAAGGAACTTTGCTTCGTTTCAGTGATCTACACGAGTTAATTGTTTTATTATTACTTAACCAAGGTCATGTGAATATTGCTGAGATAAAAACATCAGTTCGTAGGCTTGCTATAACTACAGTTATGAGTTTGTTCTACATATTTGTATGTAGCTGTGGTGTCGTTCGATTGCCTTTGTTATATTAGCGGTTCAATCTATCTAATCAAGTTAGACTGATTGTCCTCTACCCGACTGGGGCAATCGATAACATCTAGGAGTATGTGTGATTTCGGGCTTAAGAGGAATGGTAACTTCCCTAGGATTCGAATCCGCATCACAAGAATTGTTCCCAGACGCCTTTATGTAAACATGACAAGAAAAACCAGGCGGATGAATAACCTACACAAGTAACCACATTGTAACTTGATCGGCTGAATTCAATCAACGCTAAGAATTAAATAAACATGGGAGTAGTTGCTACTCAGTGATCGACCGATTTGAATATATATCAGTCGAATAGGATATTAATAGCTGCTCGTACAGAACAATCTAGCCTCACACCGTAAGATTAAAGAGGCGGGATAGAACCATAATCTGTGTCCTGAGCGATAAGCTTTGCTGGCAAAAAACAACTAGCGCAAAGCCTATACTCAGAATTTTTTACCCAATGGCCCGTAACAATTTGACTTTATTTACAATATTATTCGCTCACATTCTAAGTGTAATTATATTATTTCTCGCTTAGTATCGATTAAATGAATTACCTCTACACTTGCGTACATAAAACTATTCCAAGTGCATATCATAATAAAATAATCAAATGTGTCGTTACGGGACAAAATGGACGATTGTTCACTCAACAAGACAGACAGAAATAAAATCTTGCGAAAATTTAGTTCTACACGTTTTATTTTGAAACAAAAAAAGACACAGGTAGACAGATAAGACAAACACATTTTATTCACTTACCTTTTCCTTAGCTTCACATAATAAATCAGTCATAACCATTCGACCTTCAGCATCAGTATTGTTTACGCGAACCCGTACTCCAGCGCGTGAAGTAACTATTTCATCACTTACATAGGCATTTTCACCAATGCTGTTACGAACTAAACCTAAAGTACCGTGCACCTAAGAAAAACAGAAGAGAAACAATCGTCTGATGAATATCGCCTTCTGATCAACAAAATAAGTTACAAATCATTGACCACATCCTTATAATCGATAATGAGAAAAAGTAACTGTATACTACTTATAAGAATATAGGCAGCCCACACCACACTAGGATTACTGGCGGTTTCCAATCCGAATAAAGGAAGAGGGTCGAGCATGGGCTCAACAAACAAATCGCGACATTAAGGACCATCGTTGAGCAGTCAATTGAATGGAATTCGTCACTATACATCAACTTCCTTCACTATGAGAAAGCATTTGACAGCATAGATAAGAGAACTTTATGAAAACTTTTTAGGAAAAAACAGTGTACCTAAGAAGATTGCCAACATCAAACGGATTTTATACGACGGACCACACTGCAAAGTCGCACAACGAGGGCAGATGACAAACACATTCCAAGTGAGGACAGAAGTCAGACAAAAAAACTGATTACTCTACCCTTTCTATTTCTTATGGTGCACGACTGGATTATGAAAACCTTCATATCTCGGGAATAGCAAGAAATACAGTGGACTGCTTGGATGCAACCAGACGATTCTGAATTCACAGATCACCTACCTCTTCAATCCCCCCCACACACACACACAAACCAACAAATTCAGGTCAAGACAACCAGTTTAGCGGCAGCCTCTGCATCACTACGTCTCAACATAAACAAGGGAAAATGAAACATCCTCAAATACAACACAGACATTATTAACCCAATCACACTTGATGGAGATGTTCTGCAACTGGTGGAAACTTTCACATATCTGAACAGCATCATCGATGAACGAGGAAGATCCGATGCAGATGAAAACACAAGGAATGGCAAAGAAAGGGCCACATTCTTACAGTTGAAAAACATATAGAACTCAGAACAACTTTCAACCAATATCAAAATCAGAATCTTCAATATGAACGTGAAGACAGTTAGTTCTACTGTATGGAGCTGAAACTTGAACAACTACCACAACCATCATCAAAATGTACAAGTATTTGAAAACAGTTGTCTTAACATGATATTTAATGTCCGTTGGCTGAACACCATCAGCAACAATTCACTGTGTTGTAGAGAACGAACCAGTTTCCATATGAAGAGGAAACTAGGAAAAGATATTGGAGGTGGATAACACATACATTGTAGAAATCATCATACTGAATCATGAAACAAGCGCCTACTTGGAATCGTGAAGGGAAACGGGACAGTGGAAGGTCGAAGAACACACTGAGTCAGGAATTGGAAACAGGTATCAATAGAATGCACAGACATTGAAAATTACTGGAAGGGAGGGTCCAGAACAAAGGTAGTTGGAGATTGTTTTTTGGCAGTCCATGCTCCTTCTCGTGGGGTAACAGGCTTAAAAAAGTATTTAGTGAACTAGTATTATATATTCTTCAATAAGTAAGCGTGAAAACTCCAGACGTTTACCTTAGTATTATGAAAAACTACTTGATGTTCAATTAATGGACAATATAATACACTGTAGACAGTGCTATAAATTATCTAATAACTAACTGTTCAAGAAGAGCCCTATTAAAGCAAGTGGATAAAAATCAAATTCACAACTATAACCTTTAAGTTGTTCGGTTTCATTAAGTTTAAAACTTTGAAAAATCCGGCCACTGCAGCTGCCCCACATTTATCTCGATGCATTGTAGCCATAATACCTCCAACTTTAAGATCTGAGCCACCTGTATCATAGGTAACACCTTTCCCAACTAAAAACAAATTGACTAATTGCTGAGGATCAATTTCTGATTCCGTAGATCCATTATATTCCAAGTGTACAACGCGACCACGATGTCTTTCATTATCTATGAATAATTAAAAATACAGAACATTACAATTATATTTAATAGATGAATGGGACAATTAAAAAACACAGTGCGTAAATTTCTCAGTCCGCTTAGTGCTGATTGGTTACTTTTTTAATCCGCGTCGCATTTATACTTGAAAAATAAAAACCCACTACAATTTCTATGACGTGAAGTTAGAACATCAAAACCAGTGCAAGTGGAGATTTATTCACCTTGAAACACGGTTTAGTAGCCCCATATCTGACTGCAGTTAGATAGGACGAATGATCATAAGGATGATTGTTATTGAAATATACATGTCGCCAATCCTCGCATATAATCATCGATTTAAATAGCGTTAGTGAATAACGGAATGAAATAAGTCAAGGTGGGTAAACCAACTCAATTGCGCGTCATTTTCTTTTGTTTTGCTTTCCGATCAACGATTGTAAGAACTATACATATTCAAAATTCCATCCTTGTATTTGTTATAACTTTATGTCCGGCTTTTTATAACGTGATTTATCCACCAAGTGGAATACTTCTCCAATCTCAGCACTACGCCAAATCAATGACGTTCGACCAGTATGAACAGTCTAGCGTCCTTATTGGTCCCTTATCCGCCTAGCCCTTTCATTTGAGTCCAGAACACCAATTACAGCTTCACCTATGCGAATCATTTATTTCAAGCATACTCGGTTTAACTATCAGACAGACAGACCGCACCACACCATAAAATAGAAAATAGTATTTGTACAAGGTCAAGCCAAATGTACATGTGAATGTGGGATACAATAATCAATAAACTAAGAATAATTTTGGAACAGTAATTCGTATAATAATAATCTATAGGTCAAAATAAAGCCTATAATAAGATGAATATAGATATACATAATCGAATTACTCAATAGTTAAACAATAAGAATATACATAGAATAATCGTCCATTAATAGGTCCCGGAAGTTACTCATCAGTCAGCTACAACGTAGGACCAGGCGCATATATGCATCGGTCCAAGTTGGAATACCCCATTAGCACAAGATGAACACCGGATTCATAGAAATAGAAGTTACCCGTACTCATGTTTTCGCTAAGATATAACAGTATTTGATTTACTTAACTCCGTTATTCACTAACGCGATTTAAATCGATGATTACATGCGAGGATTGGCGACATGTATATATCAATAACAATCATTTAAACGATTTAATTGTAGTTAAATACTGGGTCACTAAAACGGCGACCACTGTAGTCGAAATTGCACAAATTTACATTGGTTTGATTATCGATCAGGATAATAGTCACAAAAATACTAAAAATAACTACATGCTGAACATAGTTCAGGCTTATTTAATACAAAAAAGTCATATCTTGAGTAAACATTTCATTGAAACGAAAAAAAAATATTACTCTGAATAATTATCATATAGAATGAAAAACCGAAATAATGTTGAAACCAACGAATGAGTGAACATTTACCAGCATGGTTTGGGAAGGGTCAGATAAATCAATACGCAGTTTTATCTTGGCACATGTAATTGATACTGGTCATAATGTAGATAAGTCAAAATCATTTCGAGTGATCTATCGTATACCTCCATCATTTCCCAACGGAGTTCGTTTCCGTCTCCTTCATATAGCTGAAGCCATAGGAATTCGTACATTTCACCCCAATTTATGTGTACAGAAGAAATTTGTAACCCCCTACCACTTCCATGGCCGGTAATAACTTACCAAATGACATAATCTTTTAATTTTGTTATCATTAGCACTATTTTTACATCCGTTACTTGTTTGTAATTTTTCACCTCTTTCCGTTCGTATTCTTAACTATCTAATTATTTACACACTTCTTATTACGCAATGATTTTAATGTTTTGTGATGACCATTTACCCACGTTTGATCTATTTCCATTGTTTAACTACTGATAAAACTTTTGCTATCGTAATTTAATATTCTTACTACTATCAGTACACCTGTCTTCCTACTATCAACTTGTACTTTTAACTATTAGGCTTGGTGACGTATTCTATTTCACTGTGATTATTGACTGAAATAGCCTTGATTGGTCTAACATTGTCGTATAAATATTCATGTATATTAGAGTACAGCCTGATGACAATCTACATGTGTTGTTCTAATTTTCACAGTGGGAATCTTTAATGTTCTCATGATAGTCATTACTAGTGGTTAGATGCATTAGGTTGTGGTGTGTGCTACTGATGTCGACAGATATAAGTAGTATGTATCACCAATTGAAAGCGAAATGCCTGAAGGCAGAAGGTTAAGAAAATCGAAGGAAAGAGAACGAGAACAGAGAATGAATGATGTGGAAACGAAGGAACAATGAAGTTTGAAACAATTAATTTACATTTTTTAAATGAAGTATTCACTATATGGTTCTCAGATTTTCCTATGATATTTTGTATTTTGTGTTCAAATAAATTCGATTGTCCCCACTTGTGCTCTAGTTCACAACAATATGACAGTAGAGTGGATGTATTTGTTCCTTTTCTCTCAACTGATCATGAGTTAAAACACTGTCTGACAGTTAATATCAGTTGATTTCATTATCTACTTCAGATAAAATATTCCATGTACCATTTCATCAATATCATAAATAGTACTATAACTTATGTATTTTTGCCACATATCTTGTTAGTTATATGGTGCTATGTTACATGACAACTTGCACATTCGTCCCAGGTCCTATATTGTTTATGACTGACGAAACAACATTTCACAACGGTAAAAATTAATAAAAGTGAAAATTTTCAAGGTAACCAAGAACAGCATTAGGTGGGAAAGGGACAAATAAAGAGTAACCATACATTCAAGATTTAGATTAAAATAAAGAATAAACCAGTCCCTGGGATTAACTAAACTAGAACATACAATATCCTTATTCAAAGTACTAGATATTTCAATACCAGAAAACAGGACGACTAAGACTATCAATCCACAACTTTACAAACTAGTGAGGAATTCGTCCATCGTTCTAAACGTCTGAGCTGAGAGCAGATAGGAGTACCGTCTTTTTCCGAGATCGTATCACTTACACTTGACTTCTTAATCCAAGTTTCTTTTATTAGTCTGAAAAGCTGTCTGGTGTCCCTATCCTTCGGAGATCTTACGGAACCGTTTATCCGAACAGCACATAGGTGACTGTTAACAAGGATACAATCTAAAAGTTCTTGTTCTTCTCTCATACTTAGTGCTATGCGTACACCCGCCAGTCAACGAGAACTTGCCATGGGGTGGCCAGATAAACGGAAGGTGTATCTTGTCAGCTCCCCGTTCGGGCTAGGTAAGGTGAATGACCACACTAGGATTCTGTATGCGTGTTTTGGGCACAGCATATAACAATGGTACGTGATTTTAGGGTCTTAGCCAAGGAGGCCCGCTGGTCGACTTGACATAGGGTGAATACGTTTAGGGCTCCAATATGTAATTTGGAGCAAGGTTTCAGTAGATCTGGGACATTTCGCGCAAAAGAATAGTTGGTCATGGTGACGCCAGAGAAATTTTAGCGTTGACAGTCGAGGTAGGAGGAACAATAAGAATTAGGAGGGAAATTGAGTGTGAATACAGAGAGGATCTACGAAGCTTCTTTTAATTTAATAATATTCTCATAATTCCTCAAAAGTATAAAATGTGAAGCACTCTACGTTCGATAGTCCTACTGACATAAATGGTATCATTTGTACAAGTAAAACTACTAGATATCTTCAACATGCATGAACATGTAGTACATAAATGAGCTGTATTTTTTCATTATTTTGCTGTCAAGCTAAAGAAAATAACTTACTTCCACGATCTACTATAGCTGCCAGAGGGTAAAGCCCTCGATCAACCGGACAATCAGTAACCTGAACAGGTTCCGTCAATTCTTTTTGAAGGTACGTCACTATATTCTTTGCACTCATACGTTCTGGGTCAGATCCACCTATATCACGTGCTACTCGTAAACCCTCTTCCAAACACCAGGCTAATCCAGTCTATACAGTTTAGATAAAGTAAAAACTAAATCAAAACCATAGTTCATGAGTAAATAATTACAAATACATGTAAATACATTAGTTTCGGAAAGTACAAATGACTATGGATGATGAAATAACAACAGTTATTAAATGGTTAACTCAAATGCTAGTGTACGATCTAAAAAATTCGATAACTAACTGAACTACTAAGTAGACCGTTATACATTTCCAGAGCGAGTGATTTTATTGATAGGTGGAATTTCTAGATAAATCGAAGTGCGCATTACAGAGCCTCAATACACAGCAATAACAGTCACAGCTTTATTAGGAGCGAAATAGAACAAGTGAATAGAAGACAACAGGTGATCCATATGAACTAGTTTTGTAAACTGACAGATTAAGAAAAAGTTTAATCAAGATAACGAAGTAAATCACAACCTAATAGAAATAATTTAACGACAATTCTTTCAGCCTAATGTTTAACATACAAACCCGATTGATGGATTTGTGGAGATACTAGAGACAAATGTCCAAGAACCACTTATATACTTCGCAGTTATATTTGTTTTCTACATTATTTGTGTGCAACATCACTTTTAGATGTACTAGTTAATTGTTGCCAATCGCACACGACCAACATCATAAGCGTTGTATTATTGTTGTTTAAATACATGGTTTGGATAGTGATACAAGAATATGGTCATCATGCGTTAAACATGAGAGAAAATAAGTTGGGTTCGAAGTGTAACTCTCAATCACTTAGACTACATTGAGTGAAGTAATGGGACAGCCGATATTCTGTTGCTGTCCAAGTTACAGAATGAAGTAACTGAGATTAAACTGAATTGTAGTTTAGGAACTCAAACCAAACCAGGTGAAAACTACATCATAAAAAGACATGACAAACACCAAACTTAAACAAAGACCACTGCTTACGACAATATTTCATAAATAACCAATTTGTTCCAAATATTAAAGCATTAACAACAAAAAAGAACAATAAAATCTTACAAGTTTCTCGTGGTCTACTGCGTAATGTGTCCCAGAAAACCAACCCAGGACTTCAGCTTTTTGTGACTGAATAGGTTTTGTGCATGTAGAGCCTTCCTGACGGTCAAACTCACGAACTTCGAGGGGCTGATTACATAGAGAAAATTTAAAATTGGTACACTTATTTTACTGATGCTGCATACATTTTGAAAGTTTAATGTTATAAGAAATGGCAGTTAAAAATGTGCCTAAACTCCCCCTCCCCCAGATGGTTCACCTCTTGAAATCATGATTACAATTCATTAACGATATCGAGAGGAGATAAGCAAAAGAAAAATGATAACGAAAGGGGAAATAAAGTGACAACGGACAACAAATCACTTATTTATTTATTTAAACACATAAATCAGTCAGTCAGCTACAACGTAGGACCAGGTACGTATATGCATCGGTCCAAGTTGGCATACCTCGTTAGCACAACAAGATCAACACCGGATTCATAAAAAGTTAATTTAGTGGTGGTAGTATATAAAAGATAGGTTGTATATAAGGATATAGTATAGGAAGGAAGAACGTTATGAAGCAATTTTAATCTTATGGTTTAAGGGAAGATAAAGAGTGTATACACCTACGCCATTGTGATCGATTCTGAGCCATGTCACACAGAGTCTCTAACCATTAGTTACGATAGTCACGCGGACCCCAATCAGGTAGTCTGCATCTGCCAACATGGCTCAGACTAGATGTTAGTGACTTCAAGCACTGATGCCACGTTTTGGTTTGGCCGCCACTAACTCTTTCCCAACCAATCATAACAGTAAAGTAGAACAGAACGAACTGCTGCACATGATACTCGTCCCTTAATTGATAGACGGATATCCCGTCTTCACCATAGGTGACGTAAGTTGGCAAAAGCCAAATGAGCTGTCTGAATCCGTGCTGAGATTTCGTCAGACACATAAATATTGGTACAAGGAGGCACCAGATATATATGCGCCACACAAATCTCATTTGATTTGTGTGAGGGCTGTGATACTGCTCAGGTGACCAAACCGAAGCAGGTGGTTTTCTTAGGGGACCACACCCGGAGCCTTTGACCTAAAGGTCTAATCCACAAGGCAATCGAGCGTCGTAAGGAGATGCAGTCCCATGGTATCCGGTGACCAACGATTGATTCATACGTCATTTGTTCCCTCAGGATACTGGAGCCCATATGCACCATTGGCTTGAAATCAGGGTTTTCCAACTCCCCTAGGTGGACCCTCCACATCCACCAACTCGATTAAAACGCCGGACATTCGCTTTTCGTCCTCTCAATTTCGTAAACACCCCCGCTACGAGAAGGCAGTGAGTAGGACTTCCCTGACAGAGGCTATATACGCGTGGCCATGTTAGAATATTTCTCTCCACACTCTCGGCCGTACCAGGGCATTTATGGGCTTAAGAGAGTTATGAACAGATAAAGACAAGACAGAAATACAAGGGTATTGGATAATATATAATGTTAGAATGAACGTTTTTATACAGCTTTTATTGGTTATGTGCTTTATTATTAACTTCAAGAACCCTTTCACCAGTTAGATTTCAAAGACGTACGTAACGTCCTCATTTAATTTAAACCCTGAATGAACGATAAGCGAACGAGAAGTTAGGTGATATAAACCGTTATCGCTCGCAATGCCACAGGAGTATTCACTTTCCGTATATCACAATTTTGCAAATTTCTTGTAATTAGTGAAAAGCAACATTACTTTCAATAACATATAAAATACCATTCAACTAAATAGAGTACGCATAGAAAAATTTTAATCAGTGAAACCACACAATCAATTCGATGTGCAAAACTAAGGGCAGAAGATGAACTTGAAGAAATCGGTCCCATACACATACTATAAAATGCTTATCCAACAACAAACTTAACATAAACGTATAGTGACCCAGATTGACACAACACACTTTTCACAAAGTATTACAAAATTGTACGAGACCGAAAGTTTAACATCAGTTATACAAGTTCTAGCATGGTGTTCAATTAAATGTAGGAAACGTGATTGAAGTTTATCATCATGAGTTAAATTATAACAAGAGTGGCAAACTCGAGACAACTAGATGGTACAGTTAGCCAGTCAATAAATTTTTGTTTATTCTATTCGCGATGTATACTCCCGACATTAAGAGTTCCAAGTTTATGAAGTTAACTGTCGAGCGTACCAGGGATTTGAAAGCGAGTTTTTCTCTAGCTCAGTCATCATAAAGTAGAATTATCTCAAACATTCCGTAACTAATGCACTAATTAAACCGTAAAAATAATTCGAAAAAATATCGAATACTTACCACATACAAAGCATGCAAAGCACCGAGCAAAGACGCCAAACAAGAAACGGATGGTTCAAGCCAACAGTGTTCCAACTTTTTAGCCGTCTTTAATGGACCCAACAGAAGGAGCGGTCTTTTAGATCCAATTTTGATGGCTCTAAAAAAATATATACAACCCTTTTAGAATAGTGTAGGATTTTGATGAAGCATAAGTGCACTCCGACTGACAAATACCTCGTAGAAACATGCAAGACGTTAATTGAATTTAGTTATAGATTATATGACATGAAGCTATTTTTATGAATGGTAGAATAAGGCTACACCATGTTTGCATGTTAACCTCACATCTGAAAAAGAATAGTTTCATACCACGCTGAAAGATGTGTAGTTTTCGAATGATATGTCCAAAATACAAATTACAACATTAAACTTAGCTAAGGAGAAACAGAAAACTAAACTCCTTATGATCTTGTGGCTGGACTATGAATGCTTAAGTACTGCTGATCTTAGTGAAGTATACAGTTCTATGAGGCTGTGTTAAACAAATGCATGCTCATTTAACAAATTAGGTTGCGCAACAATTCTGAGAAGTAGTTATATGGATGCAAAACAACTAGGTTATTGCTGGTATCCTTTTGCATTATTCCAAACCTTGATAGGTGACATATTTCACATCAAAACAAAGGTGCATAGTATGATAAGCCATGCTGTTACGCAATTAGGCATTCCTAACTTTTAGCGGACGAGAGTGAAGAGACTCGATGGTTTAACTCTAAAGGTTTTTAATAATGATGAAACATTTTTAACATTCAAGTTGACTGAAATACTACTAGGATTTCTGAAGCTAAGGAAAATCTTACCCGACAGGCCTCGACGGCTGGGTGTCTCAGCCCAGAAATAACTAAAGTTTTCTTATGATAACGAAAAAAGAAAACGGTTGGACCAATATAATATCCAAAGTATTTCTGGAACTGACAAATAAGAAACTCGGGAAAACCTGTGTGGGTTCAGATCTCGATGAGTGTACATAAGTCAATCATTTTTCATTCGCCAGGTTTTAAAACATTGGCATACTTACCGCTTACGGCTATGACTCCTTCTAAGGAAATATACTGCTCTAAGACTGATGTGTCAATGAGAAACTAACGGGAGAGAGCAAAGTAACTGAATGCATTTTCCATCTTGCTTTTTTACGAAGTTTCATCAGACCTGGTAGATTGATGGTCGATTTGATCTCAGCACTAATTTAAAAAGCTCATCTGGTTTGCGTCAACTTGTAGTATAGATGAGACATCCGTCTGCCAACGAAGGGACGAGTATACTACGTAGCAGTCCACTGTGTCGCTTTAAAGACGCTAAACAAATAAAAGACATTGGTAAATCTCAGGTTCTTGACCGTAGGTGTATCTAAAGCATTGCTAGTGCATGTTGGTAACACAGTTTAGACCTACAGAACCAGGCAAAGGTGGCAAATCAGCTGATAAGATTCTGAGCACATATCACTTGAGAAAGTCAGGAAATATATTACGTACGCCCAATCAACACCTAACCGACGTGTAACAATGGCTTTCAGAAGTAAGGAGAAAGTCACCCAATCTCCCGATTTCGGGGAAAATTTTATCCGTTTTGAGGAAGCTGCTATAGAAAATTGTGAGTGAGTGACACAAAAAACCCAAAATTTCACCAGATTTGGGGAAATTCCCCAAAATCTTGTGGTTTTTCCCGAACTTTGAGGAAAACCCCAAAAAAGGAGATTGGATAGGTGTGCCAAATCTCAAACGTCGTATCAGTTGATGGAGTTATTTACTGTTTGTTACTTTTACACAATTATGAACTTGCTTATCGTACTTTAGTTGTTTATTTTGAACCTTACGTTCACCTCCTTCATTTTAACTGTACACCATTTTATAGCTACCCACCAGATATTTGCTGAGTAACGTGATACCTGTTGGTTCCAATAAACATCTTGAGACGAATATGGACCCACGTATACTCAGAGTACACCGACCTACATATGACTGAGTTTACTAGGACTAGTTCTTTGAAGTGACCAGATTTGAATTACATGAAACCATGTATTAATGATTTACATAAAGAAGATTTACATGAAGATATTGGAGATAGCGAGGTCAGACTTCAGCAAATAAGTTGACCAGACAAATGACTGAATTAGGTGAGGGGAGTTGTCTATCTTCATATAAGTCCTTTCAGGTTGTGACCACGTGCCTTTTACACTGTCTTAAACCTCACCTCATCTTTAGAAAGATGAGGTTTAAGACAGTATAAAGTATACTTACTGAGATATACCTTTCGTCGATGCTTCAGTTATTCGACGAGCATCATCAATGTCATGATCAAGGTGACCAGTAAACGAAACGACCTAGGAGACTTTATAAATGAACATCAACATACCAAACGTTTAGATGGCAAAGAGCGACAAGTCAAGGTGTGGACATCTGAACAGAATTTCTGGTTCACCTAAAAAAGAACCTATAACCATGCACCACACACACCTGTGATGCTTCTTGTAACGTTTCAAACAAAGGTGCAAGGGAGAATGCATCTGACACGTCTTCAACTACAAGTACGACAGAATCGTAGTCTTGAGAACATAGATCTGATGTGACGACAGGCCGTATTGACTCGCGATGTGTCATTACAGCGACGACTGACCTTGAACTTTTTAAAACGACAAACCGCGATCTACAGAAAAACCGGGAACTAAAGAAATGATTTTGGGTAGACCCTCAAAGTTGATTTGTTATGCTTACCTTAACCTGAACAAACTGTGAAATAGCATTATACGGAGAGTGAGTACTACAAGCACGGAGATGACCTTGGGAGAGTATTCAATGGTGTTCGTTTGAAAAATACTTTTCCCTCATATGTTCTGTCTCTTCACACAACTCCTTGAACACATGAACTTTCCTCAATTGATTTGTTGTCTCAAAAGCATAATTTATCAACCTTGCATAAATCGTAACAAATTTTTCGGCTCAAGTTGTGTCATCTTTTTCAGTTTCAATCCGCCAAAAGTAGGAACCTGGGTGGATTGTGTTGGTCATGACAATGGTGTTCTACCAGCTTAGCCAACTTTCTTCTGAAAGTGTTGGCAGACAAAGCTTCAGTCACGTGTTGAAACAATGAATTCCACACGTTGATTCAATGGGAAAGTCGATGATCAGCTGACAAGTAATTTGTCTCCGCCAGAACACTCCACTCTCCGCACCAGACTGCCTAACCAGCACCTCAACTTCAGGACCACAGCGGTGTACACAGAGCAGTGACAGTGACACTAAATGTAGGGAACAAGAACACGAGTATCTCAGCCAAAAAAATACAAAGTTGTTTGATAAAATAGAAAAACCATAATCGGATACTTCATTTTCAAAAGGTTCATTAATTGTCTCAGGCTTCATTGTTCCTGGATTTCTACACCGATTGCCTTCTGTTTCTGTTCTCCTCTCGATATAAGTAACCCACACCATAACTTGTGAGGCACACGATCGATCCATACTACCAACAGATACTCGATAAGTACGCTGACTCGTACCAAACACGAACAAAATAATGGTGTGCAACATTGCTGTTTGCACACCACATCACGACTACAGGACCACCTGTATTCTCGATAAGCTACCACAAAGCTGAGGTCGGCCAAAGACGAATTCGAATACATGCGAGACTTGATAATTATTCAGTCATCGAACAGCCCGTAGGCATCTCCCTTGCATTTGGTCCCTAAAAAAGACAGCAACGACTGGAGTGCAACTGATGACTATAGGTGGCTGAATTCGAAAACCAATCCTGATTGTTTCCAGTTGCCTCATATTCACTATTTGACAGCTACCTTAAAAGGTTCAAGATATTTTTGCAAAATAGACTTGAATGAAGCATATAACCAAATTTTTAAGGCTGCTGACAACATTCATAAATCTACTATCATCACTCCTTCTGGACTCTTTTTTTCTTTTAAGAAATGGCCCTCGAAATTTCACGACATTTATCGACGACATTTTCCGAAGTCTCAACTTCGTACACATTGTGTTGATGACTGTTTGCTAACAAGTCCAGACAGAGAATCTCATCTCCAGCATCGGGACGTTGTCTTCAAACGACTGCGAAAACATGGGATCACTGTAAGCATCCAAAAATGTCTTATCTGAACCTACTCTCTAGATTTTCTCCGACATAGTGTTGATGCCCAAGGCATCCCACCATTCAAAAGCAAAGTGGCGCCAATTTTGGATTATTCAGAACAGACCACAGTCAACCAACAACGCACATTTAACGGCGTAGTAAGTTTCTATAGACGGTCCATCCTTAATTGAGTATCTATTATGAGACCTTTAACCATTCAACTTCAAGGAGATGTGAAATCCATCGATTTGGACGATATCGCGAAAAAAGCATTTTCCAAAGTTAAGGAACTCATCTCCAAAGCAACACTGCCCTCACAACTGGACACCAAAAGGCCCATCAGTATTTCAAGAGACTCATCCGACTCAACAATCGGAGTTTTACAACAATGTGTTAACCACACCTGGCAACCTTTGTCCTTCTTCTTAAGACGGTTGCTAGACACCGGATCGAGGTACAGCACTTTTAGTAGGGAGCTGTAACCATATATTGTTGTGAACGGCACTTTCAGCACTTTTTGAAAGCTGAAAATTCACTGTTTTCACTGGCCATAAAGCTTTTACCTTCTCTTTAAGCTCATTTTCAGACAAGTACTCAACTCAAGAGTCTCGAAAACTGGAACACATTTCCCAGTTTACTTCAGATATGCAACACATTTGTGGAGCGAACACTGATCTTCAATATGAGTTACCTTCAACAACCCTAAGACTGTGTGTCAAACAGATGGGAACAGGTAAGGAAACCTTACTATGTGCTACATCTACAGGTAGGGATCGTCCAACCGTGCCGAAGCATTATCGACGCATCTTCTTCAACACGCCACACAAACTTTGACATCCGTCTGTTTGTGCAACAATGGAGCTCATAACACGACGACTTTACTGGTCTGGTATGAATAGAGACGTAAGGGAGTGGACACTCTCCTGTGTAAGCTACTAGAGATTCAAGGTGATTAGACACAACAAGTATCCCATGAGACCTCGCACAACTCCCGATGCTCGTGTCAACCATGTTCATCTGGATTTGGTAGGACCGATGAATCTATAATTTCTTGATGATTTTGAGCGACCTTAAGAGTGTCTAGATTTAGAGTTTTCATCACGAACTGACTACAGCTATAATGACAAAACTGTACCTAGCAAAATGGACGAGTGAATTTCGCTAAAAAATCCGAAACCTATTATCTTATGTCGGATTGGTTCGTTCATAAGTTATAGTCTTGCCGTAGGACCTTTGCCAGATTCAAGTGGATACTCTTATTTATTAACTTGTGTCAACCTTTTCACTCAACGACCAGAGGCAGTATCCATCAAGGACACTGCTGCTAAAAAAGTGCCCCGCGTTCTCGTCGAACGATGGGTAACAAATTTCGGCTACCCTTCAACCATCACTACAGACCAAGAACGTCTGTTCGAATCTGGAGTTTTTGTTGTCATATTACACTACTAAAAATCACCGTGACTCATTTCGACGACCTCTCGAAACCGTTTACGAAGAACCCTTCAAATTTCGTTATTGCAAACCTAAGATAAAAATGACGACATCAGTATTGACTGCGCACTTAAAAGGAGATGTTAATAATACTGACCTTCCTTCGGTACACCAGACTGAAGCGAGCCCCATAATTACGATAACCCACCCGATGATCAACAAACATGACGAAACTTCTCTGGGTTCTGAAAACCAGTATGAATCGACGTGAAGTGTGCCACCAGGAAGATTGTACGCAGCCGATATGTAGCGAGACATTACTCTTTCGTTGGTTCTTCATATGCAAATTGCAAGATATATTCAGATTAGCGATAATTCAAGGTTTCCACCATTGTTATGTACCCATATACGTTTAAGGGGTTGTAACTCATTAAATGTAATGTTAATTTTGGCAAGAGAGTTTTGCAACTGACGGATATTGACACTGTGGCGATCAGTATTTCGTTGCTTATAAGATGATATGTTGAACAGCTTCACCTTGAGAATTTTAGATTTTGGCCCTAGCGAATCATTTTGATGGGTACAGTTAGCTGGCTTCCTAGTGTATGTAGGTATTGTGTCTATATATCAACCAGTCTTACAACTGGTATGCTGCACGAAGTGATTTGGGGGTTGCCAAGTGAAGAATCAGGCGATGATAGTGATATTTGTGGATAAGGCGCGTAAAATGCAAAAGACAAAAGTTTGACATTGTCAAGTTGGGATTCATCAGACATAGGGGTTACAGATTTCGACCTTATGGTTGGCTTAGAAGAAGTTGGTGACACTTCATTTTACTGGGGTTGCTGACCAGTAGATGGAAGCTTGGAAAGTAGAGAACCCGTTTAACTAAATGGAATATCTGAGTACACAGTTATTGTTAAGTATTAACTAGATTAATATTGGAATCAGTTACTGTGGCTATGGAAAATAATTTGGAGACAAGGTGTTCAATCATCAAGTGAGACAGTAACTATCAATTGAACACATATTTTAATTAGTATAATCAAGAGGTTAAAACGTGTAAATGCATCGTGTAAAATCATCTGTGGACTTGCATAAAATGTGAAAGGAAAGGACGTTCGTGGTGATTATGTATTAACTGTGAAGTATCCTTCAAATGAACAAATAAGTGTCGACAGACCGGAAAAAAGAACACCTCATCAAAATACCACAGAAAGATCTGATAAATTATGCAAACTACGGAGAAATCACACTCCTTTTGGCATCAGAAAACGTTTTCAACAGAGTTTCAGTGAACCAGATGAAAGACACATTAGAGGTACAACTTCGAGATCAACAGACCAGATTCCGTAAAGATAGGTCGTACACTGACCGAAATGCAACACTATGGATCATTATTGAACAATCAATTGAATGGAATTCGTTACTGCACATCAAATTCTTTGATTATGAAAAAGCATTTAGAGATGAGTTGTGGATAGGAGAACCTTATAGAAACGTTCATCGACACTGTGGTGTGCCTGCGAAGATCGTCAATGTCATACGGAATTATTACGACGGACGACACCAGAAAGTTGTGAATGGAGGGCAGCTTGTGAAAAGTGTAACATAGACCTAGTTTGTAGTTGATTTTTGCCATCATTCACATGCTTTGCAGTTTCACATAAATGTTTAAAGTCGTACCAAATATTTATCACCCTGACCTTCCGTTATGGCCTTTTTCTCTGCCTCCATTACACACTGATTATCACTTATAAAAGCACTGTTGCTCACATGCTTCTCGTTTCCACTCAGTCAACTGCCACACTAATTGATTATTATTACTATTACTAGCTTTATTCAATATTATATTTTTTTACAATATAGAATTCTCAGCACAAAATACTTCAAATTTCCGTTTCTTACTGCGTTCTTCCTGACGATAAATATTGAGTGATCGCCAGTTAGAAGTTAGCAGCCCAGTCAGTCGACATCTGAGTAATGTACTTTCTTCTCGCTGCATATTGCCTGCAACCACAATATCTCTGATTAGGCCTTCTGGAACCTTTACAGCGAAAAGGTTTACACTTTTCAGAAACGCACATTAATAGGTTGTG